GCACAAAAAAGATAATTCTCTTTTAATAGTTAAGGTACTTGAATGCATTTTAAGATTTAACTCCTGAATTTAGGATCACTTGCTGTGACAAAATACTATAATAAGCTCTGTGCAAGGCTGACAATGTAGTTCTGATGCATGTTACCCCCTGATCTTTCTCACCTCCTAATTGCACCCTTCTATGACCCAACATGTGGGAATTTAATTCTCTCCTCACCATTTTGGTGGTTCAGTGTCCGCAAGGTTTATTTTCTGCTGTATTGGTGGTCTGGTTTTCCCCCATTTGCCAATTTTGCAGAGTGGCAGTGGAGGTCTCGCAGTTATAAAGCTTTGAGAGCACCCCTATGCTTGTGGGGTCTTTGGAAGAGCCTTGCATCAAAATAGGACACACTCTCATTAACCGTCTACTGATGCTCACAAATGCAGTACATTGGGCAGTGGTATTCATTGTCAGAGTATGTTTGAAAGATTTCTCTCTGTTTTATAGTACAGACATTCTGCAACATTTAAAAGGAATATCAAGCCATTTCACCTCCAGTGCTTCTGAACACTAGGCCTTGTTCACACGGGATTCGGCTTGTATCAGGATAGAGTGCTTTAAAATGCATTTGCAGAGCCTTCAGCAAGCTATTTGTTGGAACTTTTAAAGTATGATTGGGCTCAAGTTTTGGAATATAACACAGATCCTAATGGGGGTGTTGTCACTTTGAACAAGCTGCTAGCAGGCTTCAGAAAGCTTCAGCACTACGTGAAAGGTGTTGAAAGCCTGCTGGCATTTTTAAAGAATTCTTCAGTTGCAGATCTGAATGGGAGTGTTCACAAAAGCTTGCAAAAAAAAAACATTCCCTTCTCACCATAGAGTTCTTCTGTCCTATTGGGTTCCAAGCCCCACTTCACAGAAGCCATGGTTTCCATACACTGCACTGATGATGGCCAAGATTCATGAAACAGCTGTATGTGGTGTGGAATAAATGGCTTTATAATATAATGCTATATCTACTCTACAAGTGTATATAAACCCCAACAATTAAGGTATTTGCTACTTTTTTTTTCTGGTAAATATACAATTTACAGGGTTATTCACAAAAGGGTGAAGAGTTTGGAGAAGGGAACAATCTAGGACAACATAGCTGAACTGGAAAGTGATTTGAATTGGAGAATGTCTCCAAATCAGCTATTTTGGCCTAGATTGTTCCCTTCTCCAAACTCTTCACCCTTCTGTGAGTAGACCTATTAAAGTTATGTCTGTCCAAAAAGGTGGGTTAAAAATACTGTTCATCCTGCAAGAAATCAGATGTTCTAATTTCCTTTAAAAAAAAAAAAAAACTGGACTGAACTCCCAATACTATCAGTCCTGTCTGTGTGCTCTCCAAACTATAGACACGCCTCCTCCACCAAAGTTATGCAGAAATGTCCTATTGTGAAGTGCTGCTCCTCCAAAGATACAGTCCTAGAATGAGGACACTCGCTGTACTGTGAGTGTGTTACCGGTGGGATCAAGTCAAAATAAGGTGGAGAGAAAAAGCCTGAAAAACAAATGCATCCACCCAATCTAATGACAGGTAATCGATTACATTTTGTTCTGGGGTTCAGATGCATATTAAAATCTTGTCCATATCCATGCATGACGATATCTTCTGTGTTTCCCCCCAACTGTGAGCCTTTTATTCTAAAAATATTAACAGTATAATTGAAAACAGTTTGTCTAATTTGATTTATCTCAACTTGGAGCAGATTTATTCTATGGTACAAGTTCATACAAGGTGAAGGAGGAAATTAGTTTATCTGGTTTTTGGATCCTGCATGCACATGAGCACACAACCCTGTATTCTCTCAATCAGCACTGAATCAAATGAGCCATAAACCCAAAGAGGAATACAGGTACTTAAAGCGGACCTTTACCTATATCTTTAAAATGACAACAAAGACACCTGTAGAAATTCAGAGTTAGGACTTACCGGTAACTCTATTTCCATTAGTCTTCCAGGAATCTTCTGGCAGTGGCTGTTTTGTTTTTTAACTAAAGGGCAGATTAATTCATCTACGTTTACTTCCTGGAGCTCCGTCACATGTGACTAGTCACTAGGACATATGACCATGCATATCATCTCAGGGGCAAAAACTGATCTGAATGGGACCAAGTGCTATATGCATTTCTTCCCCTGGTGAATAAAATAAAAAAAGGGGAGATTTCTTCCTCAGAAGACCTATGATGGGGAGATTAGGGGTTCACAAACAACCTTGTTACAATTAGAACATTTACTGCTTACTGAAACCCCAACACATTCTGGTCATATTTGTGTACCTCGCCGAGCGTCGCTGCTGCTCCGGTGGGCGGCATTCTGAGCGGGGTCATCTGGCAGTCTCCAGCCACCTAAATTAGGACCCCACTTGGAGCTCCGCCCAGCGGCGCAGCAGCGATGTAAGAAAAAAAAACACAGCGGCGAGTCAGCGCTGTTCCGGCGAGAGGAGCTACAGGTGGGATTCTAATTTAGCTGGCCGGGCCAGCTAAATTAGGACCCCACCTGGAGCTCCTCCCACTGGCCCAGCGCTGCCGTTGACTCGTCCCTGCTCTGTCCGCCACAGTGAATGAGGGCAGATTGTTGGGGGTTTCTATTAAGCAATTATGTATTGTCTGCACTGTATTAGCAGTATATACTCTATATGTAATACATATAGAGTACATAGAGTGCACACTGCTAATACAGTGCAGACAATACATTTACAATTATACTCTGCTAACATGAATGGATTAAATGATCTGTCTTAGCCCTGTACTAGGGATCATTTAACCCATTCATGTTAGCAGAGGATAATTGTAAATGTATTGTTGCAGTGCACTCTATATGTAGAAGTACTATATACTACATATAGCATGCACTGCAACAATACATTTACAATTATCCTCTGCTAATATGAATGGGTTAAATGATCCGTAGTACATATGTAGCCCTGTACTAGGGATCATTTAACCCATTCATGTTAGCAGTGCAGAATTGTATATCTAGATGTACTGTACATATACAGCATAAATGTCCCATACAGTGCAGTAATAGATTTACATTGATCCCCTGCTAACATGAATGGGTTAAATGATCCATAGTACAACTACATGTTATGTACTATGGATCATGATTTAACCTATGCATGTTAGCAGGGAATAATTGTAACTATTACTGCAGTGTACGGGACATGTGTACTGTATATGTACAATGGATCATGATTTAACCTTTTCATGTTAGCAGAGCAGAATTGTGAGCGCCTCCCACATGCTGAGCACTGAGACGCGATCCTGCCCAGTGCCGACTACAAGAGGCACCACGTGAGGAAACAGGGATCGGAGTGAAACTGAGTGAGGGAAGCTGGCTGTAAATCTATTGCTATAGTGTACTGGACGTGTGTAATGTATATGTAGTACATATATACAGCACACACCTCCACTACACTCCAGCAATAGAGTTACAATTCTCTCCTGCTAACATGAATAGGTTAAGTCATGATCCATAGTACAGAACATGTAGTTGTACTATGGATCATTTAAAGTCACCAGTCCCTTTAAGAAAGTATTGGTATCGGCAAGTACATGAGGGGGATGTACTTGGGCCTGAAAAAGTGGTATCGGGACATCCCTAATCCGTCCCAACGTGAACAACATTTAGAGATGGCCACATTCTCTTTATTACGGTTAGGTTTTCATTAGCTCATGCATCCTGTAGCTGTGAGCTTTGCATGTACACTCTTCCTACATATACTAGTCACTGCTGGAGTAGGTTTTGCACACTTTGTGTCTCAGAATAAGCAGGTGTGTAATTATTTCTGAGGTTAGGCCTCAAAAAGCACTATTAGGGATTGTTTAAACCATAGTTAGCCAAACTGCGGCCCTCCAGCTGAGGTGGAACTACAAATCCCATGAGGCTTTGCAAGATTCTCACAGCCACAGACATGACTCCTGGAGAGAGATGCATCATGGGATTTGTAGTTTCACCACAGCTGGAGGGCCGGAGTTTGGCTACCCCTGGGTTTAAACTAATCCAAATCTACAACATTCAGTTTTAGTGTCTGGGCTAGTAGGTGGGCGCTGTGATGTGCCATTTCATTGCATCACTTTTTTTTTTTTTTAAACTTTATTTGGAGTGTACAATCCATCAAGGTCTCCAAATAGCAGCATGGTGTGCTCTGCTACAGGGACCTGTGTTGTGAGTGCACTACAAAATAAGAAAAATGCAGTCTTTTTTTCATGGTTTTTCATCCTCATTTTGTTATGAATAGGGCATTGTCTATGTGCCTTAGCGGTGACGGGCATTCTGTTTCTGAAAAACACCAAATCACCTCTATTGGTGACAGAGCCCTCAGTGTGGTAATAGGGAGATCCTTCTAATTTTGTCATGGATTTGGGAACATAGATGTGATATAATGACCCTCATGCTGTTATTTTACCATATGTGCGGTTGTAGTAACAGTGCGGTGACGTTTACCCCATTCAGACAGACTGGCTCACCCTTTCCACTACACCAAACCCCAATTAAGCCCTTCAGATTTGCACTGGATGAGGTTTGCAGAAGTTGATCTGTATCTGGATTTTATGGGAGAATGAGCCGTGTTGATTCATATTAACAGAACTGATCTAACCAAAAAAAAAAAATGCAGCATGCTGAACTGCAGTCTCTTGTACACATCACTGCAACAAGGCAAATCTCACAAAATGGCTACTTAAACCTGATGCAGAGCATAGAAATCAAATCCTTTGAGTAAAACAACCAAAGTCTGCTCTGGTCATCCATTTCTCTGCTCAAGTGTTTTGTGCTCATAGATAATCATTTGCCATTGCAACCAAAAAGCTGTTTTACGTGCCTTCTTATTTCAAACTCATGTTACTGGAGGCCAACATACCAGCTCTAGTATTTTCTAACCAGGAAAGAGGTAAATTGTATAGCACACTAACCCTAAAAACAACTAAACCAACCAATTTTTAAATAAAATAAAAAAAAAATCATCACAAACACAGAAAAACCAAGAGCTTTAATGGCACAAGACAGAACTGTGCATGAGGTATGGGGAGGTCACATGCTGCACTCTCTCAGCTTCACATCGGCTTGTTTCAGAGAAATCCAAGTGTTCAGGGTGCACGAGCGGAGCCTGGACCATATCAAGTGATTGTTCAACCCAAATATCTGAGCAGCAAACTGAGCTGCTGCTTCAGGAGACAGAACCGTAGAACAGCCAAGACCTGCAGTGGGATAGAGAGGTGGAAAAAAAAAAAAAAAAAGTTAAACAATTCCCAATATATTAAAACGTTACTTGGAAGATCTGGATGGCTGCTTTTTAGCAGTGTGCGTGTTTCTCTTACCGCTGGGCATCCGTAGGGAAGACCAGACATCCTGAGCCCCCCAGTCTGCCGTAAGAGGAGGGCAATTAATTACTGGATAGGCCGTGTTTCCAGAAAGCACAGGACCCAAACCATTGCTTCTGCCGGCAACTGCAACAAACACTGTGGGGATGCCATCGCCTAAGAGTGAAGAGCAGAACGTCAGGTCATTGCATCAGCACGTATGCTTCACCTTGCAAAAGACTAAAATGTGATCACCCATACTGCAGCAATAACCAATGCAGAGTAAGGTGATGAGGACACTGCACCTTTCTTCCAAAGGGAAAAATTTGTGAGTATTCTTGGATGAGTCACATTGAAAAGGCTTACACTAGTCCCGTGCATCCTTATACTGCTCCCAAAAACATTCTCAACTGCCAATATTCATCTCTGAACATTACTGTGGACATCAAACACCACAAATGACCCAAAAATAATAACAGGCAGAGCCAAACTCTAGAGATATACATGTTGAAGTCTCTGTTCCCACTGGTGAGAGATCCCATCATTTTCTGTTCCAGCAAAACTCCTCTAGCTGGGGACACAGGTTGCAGTAAACACCTCATAGGGGTTCTATGTGTTCACTTCGCCGCTGCCCCCCCCGCAATATCTCAGCAGGGAAATGCTATGGGGTAGGGCAGAATTACTGCTTTTGCAAAACAACCTGAACAAAAAGCCTTTAGAACCAGTGGGCAATGATTACCTTTCCTCTTAATTTACTTACAATATTTACTCGAGACATAAAAAACATTTTGTTTTGGGGTGCAGAGACTCTAGCAAAGTAGAAATTCTCAGATGGAGGTCGGTCATCTTACCCTCATACTCAGACTTGATCCTCAGTGTTTCATCAGGACCCTTGTGGGCAGAAGTCACCCTGAGCTCACATGGAATGCCATAGTTTGCACAAGATTTCTTGATTTTCTCACAATGCCCCAAGTCAGAAATGGAGCCCATCAGCACAACCACCCTTCCGTGGCTTACACTGGTCAGCAAGTGCTGAAAAGACAGACGCAATCAACAGAGACACAAATAGAAACTCAATTGCCACACGCAGGTAAAAGACATGCATATTATTTAAAGCCTAATTTCAGGCACAAAAAGCTCACTAGTATCACAGCAGATATAAATTCCATTGGCAGAAAATAAAACCTAGCATGATGGCTTCTTTCTAGGGTTGTCAAATCTGTTTTTACATGTAGGTGGAAGTTCAGCAGTCACTGTACTTCTGTGAACACTTGATGTAAGCAGGGCTTGTGGACCCCAGCTCTGCGCTTCTCTCCTCCAGGCCATTCACAAAACACAAAGCCCATATTTGTTTAGTGAATGGTCATGAGAAGTGGTGGAGAGGTGACTATAGCGCGGGAATCTGACACTTGGAATGCTTTTATTGAGCGGGTGTGGAAGGACAGTACAGCAAGAGCTGAACTTCCATCTGCATGTAAAGGAACAGATTTGACAGCTCTAGAATGAAGCCACTATGATGTTTCCTGCCAACAGCATTTGGATACTGACTTTCTGTGCCTGAAGAGTTGGGCTTTGCCCTCATTCACACGGGTACCGGCCTGCCCATACAGATCCATGCACGGCCGTTATCAGGCCCCTCCCGGAAAGGACAGGTGCTGCGTGTGGTTTTTACTCACCCGAGCTGCCCGTCCGTGTGTCCCTGCTCAGATGCAGACAGGATCCATCCTGTGCGGACGGTGCGGACACCCGGACGGGCAATTCGGGTGAGCTTAGGGTGGCGTACTCCCATAGAGAAGGACAGGCTGCTGCGTGTAATCACACCTGTCCTTCCCAGAAGCAGCCCGATAACGGCCGTTGCTGCAGCACAGATCTGTACGGGCGGGCTGGCCGTTTCTCGAGTGAATGAGGGCTGTACAGAGGTTGTCATTTTGTTCAGCTTCAGTTCTTCTACTTTCCACACTGCACAGCCAGGAACATCACTACACCACCTCATGATTTAGTTTCCAGCTTCCCGACTATTGGACATATGCGACGATTTAGATCACAATAAAGTGAGCTGGTTGGGAGGTGGAAAGGCTACATGCAGAACATGCCTGGCAGAGTGTGGAAATCACAAGACCGTACAGAATTGCAAAAAGTAAACTAGTATTAATACTGCAAATTGAGCTGTTTGCCTGGACTTTAGATTTAAGGCCATGGAGGGCAAAATAGAGGATGGAGCATTTGTATTCTACAAGACCTGGCAGAAGACCAGCTCCGCCGCTGCACTGCAGAACTTAAGCTAGAACAGGACGTCCTCGGTTACATTCTCATTAACAAAATACAAGTCACACTGCAATTTTGGCAAGAGCTGAACTCAAACCTTTATCATCATTTCAAATCACAGGCAGAAAATTTCCATCTGCACATTTATACTAATAGGATATACTGGTAGGAACCTTCCAGCAAGTAATTATCTTACCTCCACCCTCTCAGCAACCCACTCGAAGTTCCGTTTCACCATCTGCATCGCTTCTGGTGTGATTTCCTTTAGATCCCGGTACGTCTGCAGCAAATACAGAGGTCACCATAAACATTACCTTCAACATAAAATTCAACGTTGCTGCACATTAAGAGACGGATATCTCAGCACCGAGACTCAGAATGAGGGGACTGCAAGGGGCTAACCAGGCTGAAATGTGACCTGAAGTAGCCATTCTTAAAAAGGAAAATGTCGTTTGGTTTCCAGTTTGCTTTTTCAGACTGAGGGACTGATAAATCTCCAAGGCCATGACTTCCCTTGTTGCCACTACTTTGAACCAGGACGTAGACTTACTCACTAGTGAATCAAAGAGAAAATATTGTCTGCTTAAAAAGTAGAATCATGCTGTTATGAAAAGCAGCTTTGAAATTGGATACACTATGTGTATGGGGTATTATAGCGATATTCTCAGTATGGTACAAGGAGTAAAGCTGCTTGATCTGCACATAGCTGTGAAAAATTTAAATAAAAACACCTTCTGTTTTGAAAACCATATTTCTCACAATAGCACTCCTTTAAAACATATCTAAGTTAAACAAAAATGTAATATATTACAGCTAGTTTTTAGATGTGGTGTCTGCATTCGTTTTTTTTTTTTTATCAGGCTCCACCTCTTCCGTAATCATTGGTTGCTAGGACAGCCAGCGCTCCCAGCGGTGTCAATTGTGTGCCTACACCCAGCATTATAAGAGGACGGAATAACTTTTTACATCCTCCTGGAAGATAAGGATTAGCCAATCCTTATCTTGTGACTACAGAATGATTAGCCTTTGTTTTGCAGATGGAAGAGTAGGTGGGTCTGAATGGTTTGACTAGAAGATACAGACTCAGTCCATAAAACTGCTGTGTGTTGTCAGCCCACAAAAGGACTTTGGAACAGAGTGCATCTCAGGCCGATGAACAGGTAGATTTTTCTTTTACTTGCAGGGTCTTTGACGTGTGAATGTACTGCAGAGATCTCAGATTTGCCCTCATACTGTACACTTCAACAGACCAAAGGGAACAAATAATACAAGTTCATAGTCGGGGGTAACATACATGTCTTCAGAGCTTCCTATTCTAGCCCTCTGACTACAGATGACCACATTTCATTACCTGTTTATCTTTCTGTTGACTCTTATCTCCTGAAGGCCACAGACGCCATGAGTCATTGTCAATCACATCAGCAAGAACAATCTCCTTTTTGGTCACATCAACACCAAATTCAATCTAGTTCAGAAAATGGAAAAACTGCTTTTGTTTTCAAATTTATATATAAAAATATATATATATATATATATATATATATATATATATATATATACACACACACACACACACATACATACATATACATACATATACATACATATACATACACACACAAATATTCCAAAGAAGAGGAATCAATCTTCACTACACAACTAATTGTAACATTTATCTGAAAGTATTGGACATGACTTTCATAAAGGAGAAGGAGGGAAGGGAAAATAAACTGCCTACCAAGGAAAACTTGAACTGTTCTAAAGTCAGGTTAGTACACTCTAGTCACTGCAGTCAGGTTCCAGAAAGCTTCTCTGTGTATGGATTGTGGGGTCTGCTTCCTCAGCCTGTAACTTCCTTTAGCATTCCATATCACCAGAATCAAACTTCCAAAGTAGGTTTTATGCTGAATGGAGCAGTAAGGGAACTATAGTACCAACACTTGGGGGCTCCATTAATATCAGATCAGATATTGCTATCCACTTAACCACAAAACGCAGGCTGTGGTATAGAGTCTGTGCTGACGTCATAGCAGACGTTCAGGAATCCCCATCTGTGTTACAAACATACAGAGTCCTGGTAAAACAAAGTGGGGTGCATGGTGTACTTCTGCTGCACATGGGTGAAAGCCCCCAAAAGGTAGCTTGGCCTCCCCTTATGCATTTCAAGGCTTAGTTTTTCAAATGTACACTAAATGATGGTTAAGAAAAGCTGAATGGACTGTTTTCAGTGACATTTAAGCACAATTACCATGCAGCATTATAAAGAGTCTAGTTTTCCAGTAATAAGCAAGTCCATGGTTTCTGACAGAACAGGCTTCAGACATCAATGCTAGAATCCCAAACCATCCCATCTTCCAAACAAAACGAGGCATGAATTTACCTTCATGTCTACCAGTGTACAGTCCTGTGTAGACCATGCTTTCTCTAGGATCTCAAAGATGGCCACCGTGGAATGCTTCATGATGTCCACCTCCGCCTGACCAATCACAAGGCCAGCACAAGTGAGCTTTTCAGCAATTAGCTGCTCTTCAGACCACTGAGGGTCATTATTGGCATCATCCTGCAATGAAAAGCAATGCAATGCATTTAGAAAACGGACTAATGACTCCAGCCACTGAAAAGTGAACTGAAATGAACCCACCTTGAAGAACATCTCCACTTTGGGGGGATAAAACTTGTAACCTTCTTTGACTCCAGGATTTCTCTTGAGGAAGGAGCCAGTGGCTATTCTCCTGCAAACCCACTCAATGGGAATCATCTCACAATGGGTGGCAATGAATCCAGTCTCACTACACTTCTTCACAAATGCCGTCTTGATACCTGAGAGAGAATCATAAAACACAGCCACAATGATTTCCTATGAGAAGATCCAGCCAAGCAAAAAAATGTAACACTAACAAATTAACCGAGACAGATAATCACTGAGAACACAAGGTCACAAGATAACCACACAGAACAAACAAGTGTTCTGAAAGTTTCTTAAAAGGGAAACAAATATTATTCAGTCTCTTTTTTTCCCCAGTGTATTTTACTTGACATTTTTAAAGTGTAAACTCAAGTAATATATATTTTTTTTAAGTCTCACGTCTTTGTTTTACAAAAACATTACAGGGTGCACCCAGGACACTATTCACAGAGCACTGGGTTGACTAAAGCTCCGAATAGGCGTTTCCCTTCCAAGGGGGGGTTCATATGACCTATTCAATTGTGTGCGTGTAAATATAAGCTTGAGCTACTGAGCTTTGTATACAAGCTTTTAATTTCCAAACAGAATGATAGTGGGGAAGCATCCCCCCCCTTGCCTCAGCCAATGTACAGCATACTGTATATTTGCATGACCACAGTAATTAGATGTAAATATATTATGAGAATGGGCCCATGTATGTAAACGAGCTCCCATGGCATACCCAGCAACTATAATTTTTTGTCATGTCTTTGCTTTTAGGGAGGTAGGAAGATCCACTGGTATCCCCGGCACCTGCTAAGAGTCCTTTTCTATTGCTGGTGCAAATAATGTACTTCCTATATGCGCAGCACCATCACAAAGGGGTGAAGTACAGCCCTGATCAAAGAAGGGAGGCAGGGGGTTCAGGATTATTCATGCATTTTTGGGAAGAATATTGCACTTTAAGCTATGCTGTATGTCTGCACAGAAACCACTTAGTTTTTTGGGCCCACAATAGACCGTTTAGAAACACTGCTTCTGGTTAATTGGACAACTCCATTCAGTCAGCTGAAATTTAACTTATGTGCACAGATTTCCTATTGCCCTGCAGTGGTCATGAATGTGTTTCTAATTCAATTACAGCATTGCCAAAGGAGATCCGCATGTCCCAAGTAGAATACTGAAAGCATGCATCCTCATTTAGCCATTTCCTTCTTGGAAATTAAAATGAATACTGTGACTACTTGAACGGGAAAAACATTTAAGATGTCCTTAAGTCAACCCAAAAGATAGCAGATGACTTCTTTCAAATTGGGCAATAAAACATGCTGAGAGTTCATCCAACAACCTAGAGCTGGGGGTGTATGTAGCCTTACCCCTAAAAGTCAGAGTATCCGTGTCTTGAGACCTCACTTAGAAGTTTACCAACAGTCCCAACTACACCTTACTAATCAGTAATAGACATCAATGGTTCCTTTAATTAGTGAGGTGCCCACAAATAGGTCAATCAAAAGTACTTGGGTCATTCTTTGATACAAATGTATTCAGCCATAAGCTGAGGGCTAAGGTTAAGGTAGACTTTTAACTTCATTGGGTTACCCAGGCAGAAGCTGAGAGCCAGTGTGCTTTGCAGGTCATTAGCAAGTGAAGCCAATATGATGGGCAAGTTTTTTTTATTTGAGTGGAAAACCTAGTTAATGCAGTCAATACAATGAGTTATGTAAATGCTTTACATAATGACCCTGCAGGCACTCAAGACAGGACACATTCACCATGTAATAATTCTTACCGGCCTCTTGAAGAAGTTTAAAGACACAGACTGTGGTCTTGTTAGAGATGGAGGCTTTACCCTCCATGTGATCCTTCCTGGCTGCATTCCCTGCTGTGATCTGATCCTTGGACTGCATGAGAACACATCCGGGGTGATCGGGCAGCTCGTGCACCTCTTTAGTTTTGCCTTCATTGATCTTTCTGCCGAGTTTCAGTTCTTAATACAAAAAGATTGATGTCAGTTGTGCAAATAAACATCTTTTCTCATGTGGAAAGTAAACGGGGTTTTGAAACGTCCGTAAGTTTAAAGTCGTGCGACCTTACAGTAGTAGAGGTCGCACGGCTTCCACACACCTTACGGGATTTCCCGCGATTATCGTAAGGTGTGTGGGGACCTTAACCCTCCCCCATTCACCCACTATCTGAAGTCTGTGAACCCAACTTGTTCTTAAAACCTTTCTTAGGTAATTAGAGACACCTTGTGGTTCTAGCAAGTACTTGTCTTAAGGTGCCCAAACACTTTACAGCCATCGCAAGACCTTAGTCTTGCGATGGTTGTAAAGTAAATTTAAAAAAACGTATAATCTGCCCATCTTGGACAGGCAGAGGGGCGGGCTTCCGGTGACCGCAATGCTGAACGGGCATGATGCTCGGGAGACAAATGCTGAACGGGACGGTGTGCGTGCGCACGCCGGCCCGTTCGGCATTTGTCTCCCGAGCATCATTCAAACCAGCCGAAAATCTTACGATTTTCGGCTGGTTTTCTAGCATGCTCCCCAGACAAAAGACGTCCGACCGTACAGTAGAAACGGTTGCACGCCTTCATTCACACTGGACGATTCTCGTACGAGAATTGTGCAGTGTATGGGCACCTTAAGTCTTCAAAACTGATCCCTGTGGAACTCCTTGGATTGTATCCCTAGGATTCACACAGAACCTTGACTCTTGTACAAGTCAAGATTAGGATCATCCAATATTTAATTTTCATTTGCCAGAGCCTCTACTGCTCACTAAAGTGCTGGCATTAAACAGGCTAATGATCGGGAAAGGGCTCCATATGCACTTTAGCAGAAGTTCCAAGTACAGTCTGTGATCAAGGGGATCTACAGGACACAAGGATTAAATCCTAAAAATAAGACAGGGTCACTTCAGGTTGGCTGTGCTGTAGCAGGGGTAGGCAGTCCCTCTTAAAGCCTCTGCATGTCAAAATCATTCAAACCAGCCGAAAATCTTACGATTTTCGGCTGGTTTTCTAGCATGCTCCCCAGACAAAAGACGTCCGACCGTACAGTAGAAACGGTTGCACGCCTTCATTCACACTGGACGATTCTCGTACGAGAATTGTGCAGTGTATGGGCACCTTAAGTCTTCAAAACTGATCCCTGTGGAACTCCTTGGATTGTATCCCTAGGATTCACACAGAACCTTGACTCTTGTACAAGTCAAGATTAGGATCATCCAATATTTAATTTTCATTTGCCAGAGCCTCTACTGCTCACTAAAGTGCTGGCATTAAACAGGCTAATGATCGGGAAAGGGCTCCATATGCACTTTAGCAGAAGTTCCAAGTACAGTCTGTGATCAAGGGGATCTACAGGACACAAGGATTAAATCCTAAAAATAAGACAGGGTCACTTCAGGTTGGCTGTGCTGTAGCAGGGGTAGGCAGTCCCTCTTAAAGCCTCTGCATGTCAAAGTTTTTCAATGCCTCATGGGACTTATAGTTCCACAACATTGGGAGCACAGAGGTTGCCTAGCCCTGTGCTGGAGAAATCTGTTTGGTGTGCCATCCTCCTCCCTCTCTAATACTTCCTCCTGCTTAGTTTGTTCCTAATCTAGGAGAAAGGGACAGCTTACCCCATCTTTCTCCTCCAGCAGAGTTCTGTCTTTTTTTTACCCCTGGAAATTCACCCCAAGGTTCCAGCAAGCACGCTCCCAGGTCAGCATAGTCAGCACAACATGACAACCAGTGGCGCAACAATCACCGCAGCGACCCAGGTGGCCCGGACAGGACATCCCCTGATGCCGTGTGGGCCGCTATGGCATCTCATGCTGCTGGCTGTCGCTGGCAGCTGTGAAGAGGAATGCGTTGCTGTTCAGATCACTGTCAGTCATCTGTACAGCGGTGCGCTCTTCTCCACAGCCGAGTCAGTGACAGCCAGCAGCGGCGGAGGATGGACCCGGCAGTGGAGGAGGCGGGGCCCACCAGCGACAGTGGAGGAGGACAGCAGATCGGGGCTGACAGGTAAGGGGTGTTACCAACCCACCTGAGGCCCAAGAGCCCACCATAGGGAGTCTATGGTGGGCTCTGCATGGTCACTCAGGTGGGCTCTGCAAGGGATGTAACTGGAAATCACAGGGCCCCATACAAAATTTTGCCCTGTGATTTCTAGTTACGCCCCTGCTGGCAACAGCTATACCAGACAGGAGGTTAGATCTGGCTGCAATGCAATGATCAATCAGAAGACTATAAAGTCCCATATTTTGCTGGACCCTCTATGGTTACAGTAGTCCTGACCTCAGATGTGCTGCTTTGCTCTTTTGTTGAGGTCAAGATGACATTTAACTTCCTAAAATTTTGTCCCATTTTACGCGAGATGACCGGATTGTATCAGAGAGGAATCTGTTCTAGAGTTTCCACACTTGCCGACTCCTAGTGTGCCATACAAATCCAGCAGATCCTTCATTTTCCTGACCCAGAAACTCATCACAACTAAATATATCACAGCACAGAGAATTACTCATGATGGCTGCAGGCAGCATTAAAGATCAGTTCTTCTTCCCACAAACTTGTCAGCGACAGGCTGCTAGAAGAGTGTAACCAGCAGGGAATGGTTGGATAGGGCTGGGGGGGTGGCACATAGAGAAGGGTGGGCACAGCCATCAGCCCCGCACCCCTCTACTCACCCGATTCCATCTTTATCCGGGTGCACGCTTCTTCCTGCAAAGACAACACACAATCAGATCATAGCATACAAAACCGAGCTGACATGACTAGATCCCCCTACGCCAATCACAGCCAGGGATTACTGTGTACACCAGCGGTCATGGCAGAGTCCGGGGATCCAGCCTAGGCTAGGGACCAGAGCACATGGCAGTGTTACGATTACCGAGTCAGAGGTCTGTACAGCACGATCACCGCTCCACCACTGCAAGCACAGAGAGCCGGGGAACCGACCAGTAAGGAAGGCCTCTGTCCCCGCCCCCTCCGCCTGACCAATCACAGAGACCCTTCCCGTCCTCATTAGCGTACTGACATCACATGGTAACCCTGCCGATGCTGGCGGGGAATTCGGAGCTCAGCCTCTCACCTGAGGGGAGTCCAGCGAACAGGAAGAATAAGTGAATACACGCCGGGTGAATGAACACAAACGGTGTGCAAAGTCCTACAGTTCATGTCCCTGAGGGCTCATTCACATTGTGGCAATGAAGCATGATTGGGCAAACTCTGACCCTCCAGCTGTTGTGGAACTACAAATCCCATGAGGCATTGCAAGATTCTCACAGCCACAAGCATGACTCCCAGAGACATACATGATGGGATTTGTAGTTTAATTACAGCTGGAGGACCAGATTTTGACCACCCCTGTCAAAGTACGCCTTACCGCAATGAGCGGACTGCAACGCCCACTTTGCTGTGCAGACATGTGAATGGACCCTCAGAAAGCACCCACAGCCTGAGTGTAAGAGCCTTTGCCCTGCTAACATGCTGTAGAGAAGGCCTCTTGCTCTCTGTGTGGAAGCAGTGATCTCCCTGCACAGATCCGACATGCTCCTTGCTGAATCAGAGCTAGAGCTTTGCAGAGAGCATGAGCATTGCCAATTCCAGGGCTGGAGCTCTAACGCAGTAGAGGGCATGTCAGACCTCTGCAGAGAGATCACTGCTTGTACTCGGAGAGCATGGCTCCTTCTTGATTGCATGCTGGCAGGGAACAGGCTTTTCTCCCCAGGCTGTGGCTGATTTCTACATCAGTAACTTTACACACCTTTTGTTTAGATGCACCCGGAATGTAATTGAACTTAATGTTCAGGACAGATACGTAGCCTGCCACCGTTCACCTCTCCTGAGAATGTTTATTGCTGACATTGCACCGCTTTAAATGCAAAGTGACATTTTATTTTTTCACAGACAGTTTGAACATTTCTGAACGGATGACAAATAAGCTTTCATGTACCTGTACTGTACAATGGGCAGCAGTACCAGCTCTACTGAAAGGGACACAAAACTCAGGAGATACATCTTAATAATACATTCAAGTACCCAAACTATTAACAAAAATGTATCTTATTTGTGTGTCACTCGGCTGTAGACCCTCCAATCATCTCTGAATTGGTGCTGACACTGTCCTTCCTTCTGGAGGGTGGCTACTATTGTTCCCCATGGTCCCTGTGTGTGTTGTAAAGTAGCCACCGATCCAAGCTCACTCCTGTGATGGACTACAATCTCAATACAAATTAGTAAAGTAAACATGAGTTTGTAGTCCATCACGGGAGTGAGCTTGGAGCGGTGACTACTTTACAACACACACAGGGACCATGGGGAACAAAGTAGCCACCCTCCAGAAGGAAGGACAGTGTCAGCACCAATTCAGAGATGATTGGAGGATCTACAGCCGAGTGATACACAAATAAGATACATTTTTGTTGATACTGAAGGTACTTGAATGTATTTTTAGGATTGAACTCCTGAGTTGTGTCACTTTAAATAAAGCTGTGCCACATCACAACAGGATATCAGTTTGTTCCATTCTAGGTATGGATGGGTTGGACAGTACTCTGCCCTGGACCTCCTTTCCCCCCCCCGTTGATGACACCAGTATTCAGTCTTCTGGTGTTGGGAAAATCAGTGCTTGCTGGTGGTGGGACACACTTTAATGACAACACTGGCACTTCCTTTAAATGTCTTTTGTTTCTCCTCAGGGGACAGAGGTGTTACTTTTGCTGCATGTTTCTATCATTTCCCCACTCTGGCTTTGACCCCACTTTGGACATTTTGCTATGGCTTCTCTAAAGGTGCCCATACACTGTGCGATTATCACACGATAATCGCTGGAAATCCCGCGATCGTACGATAATCGCAAAGTGTATGGAAGGCGTGCGACTGTTTCTACTGTACGGTCGCACGTCTTTTGTCTAAGGAGCATGTTCGAAAACCAGCCGGTTTGTGGCATGCTCGGGAGACAAATGCCGAACGGGCCGGTGTGCGCACGCTGTGCCTGTTCAGCGTTGCGGTCATCGGAAAGCCCGCCCCTCAGCGGGGCGGGCTTGCGATGATCGCAAGTACGATCTGCCTGTCCAAGATAGGCAGAGCGTACGTTTTTTTAATTACTTTACAACCTTCGCAAGACTAAGGTCTTGCGATGGTTGTAAAGTGTATGGCCACCATTAGGCTGCATTTTCCTTCAGTCAGTTACTGCTGCCACAAATTGGAATATGTGAGTACCCCTCTTACAAAGATGTTTTATAAATCCCTTTGGAGCGATCTTTTTTGCTAAACATTTGCTATAAGAGGGGACCATTTTATGGTACCCCCCTGTTTACTTCAAGAGATCAGTTTTGCTCCAGGTTGTTACTAAAAGTGCACCTATTCTTTACTACCTCCCCTCCAACAGTCTGAAAATATAATATGTATACTTCTCTACAAAGGTACTTCCTGGAGATCCTCAGTGTGTGGCCAGCCTGGCACTGCACAGCGTATGACTGAAATCTTCATAAATCCACCATGCTGCACGGCAGTCTCCATTCACTTCAGTGGAAATCCTGTGGGGATGGGATTTCCTTTGAAGTGAATGAAGACCATGCCGTGTATGTGCCAGAACATGGAAAGCAGGTCTTTAAGTATCAGTACAGGGGGTTATGCATAGGTTCAAGACCAAACACAAGATTAAGATGACATTTTAAGTGCTGGCCTTGCCGCAAGAAAAGACTAAACCACACATTACAATTCAACATGCTGAAGATGAAGGCTCTAAGAGGTACCGGATTGTCAAGGTGAAGATGAAGGCTCTAAGAGGTACCGGATTGTCAAGGTGAAGATGAAGGCTCTAAGAGGTACCGGATTGTCAAGGTGAAGATGAAGGCTCTAAGAGGGACCGGATTTTCAAGGTGGACCTCAGTGATGCCTGTCTGCTCATATTCATATCTATGCTACCTTTGGTTGAGATTGTGGAGGGTCCCAGAGATTCATTTGATTGTACAGACTAGATCATCACTTGAATATGCTGCACTTTATTCATTTTTACCAAGATAATTGCACATCTTTTGGTCAAAGACAACCATATTTATGCATACCTACACAATTTAGTAAAGGCTGAGAACCTGTCATTTCTGTTTTATCATGTCACCACAGTCCTCAGCACCCAATAACAGCATGGAGTGGATAGCAAACCAGGTCAAGACCTAACTTGCCTATTCTGTCATTTAGATTCCTTGGGTGATGTGCCTTTCTGACCCGAGGTTTCTCAACCTTCCTCTGGACAGGACACAGAACACACAGTCATTCTGATGACGTCTTCTTTTCTGCAGCAGAAAAGAGTGTATTAATTAATAGGAAAATTTAGTAATGGCCAAATAATGCATCTAGTGGCCACGGATTGATATCAGAGTATTTCAGTTCATACAGTACCTGTATAATACCATCATGGTCTTGGAAGATTGGAAAAAAGTGATCTGACTTGGTGTAAGGAACTAACACCGCCTCGGAGTCTTATAGCACGGCGGGGCCGGCCCCGTCAGCAGCGTCCCGTTGCCGAGCGACGGTCGGCCTCCGTTCAGCGCTTCACTCCTCCTCCCGTCAGCTGAGCCGGCGAGGTGACGTGGCGAGCTCGGCCCAGCGGCGTCCCGTTACTAGGAGACGCTCGGGTCGGGTTTAGTAGGCTGACCACTTGCTCGGCGTTCTATCAAAGTAGTACGTCGAGCAAGTTCGCTAGGGACATATACTACACGGAACCATTGTGACACCTCTTTTGATACCTGGCACCTTCTACCTTGGATACCTGGCACTTTCTACACGGGATACCTGGCACTGTGGACTCAGCTCTTTCACCCAAACTGCAAGTAACCATTAGCACATGTTACCAATTAGTGCTCTGTGGAAGATAATACCAGGTGGGAAGATAACTACAGAGTTCTCTCTGAAGACACTGTTTATTGACTTCACTGTTGCACAGGACTGTTGTATCCAGTTGATGCTTAAGGGAGAGTATTACTCAGGATTGGGGATTATAAGTGACTCTTGTTCCAACGGTGCAATACTGTCATTCTGATACTGTGATAACCATAACCCCCTAACCTAGAGTTAGCTACATCATCCTCATTAGTGAACTAGTGAGTTGGAAACTACAATTCCTATCATACCCCAATGCTGTTCAATTGGGGTTGGGAAGCTGCATAATCGCTAACTGCCTATTATTGAATTAATGGTGTATGATGTGACAGGGGTTCCGACTTCACTCACTACACTAAAGTGTGACTGTGAACCCTCTTCCTGAACCGTCTCCATCTAAGCTCCGCAGCTGCGATCCCAGATACCCAGTCGAGCTTGCACGGATCCTTACACTTGGTGGAATATGATCAAAAAACAACCAACACGGGGATATTTCTGTTGTGATCCAAGTGTGTACTCATCACTGGAACACAAAACATATCTATTCGAGGGATCTGTGACCTTCAGTTAAAGAAAACAAACAGTAGTTGTTTTAGCCCTTCAGGACAAATACGTTTTCATCAGGTGGCATCATAACCACGGTCCATTACCGGGACTGCCAAGGTGAAACCTACTGAGGGTCTTGCGATCTTAGCCATCAAGATATTCTATTGGATTGAGAAACATTTTTCAGCATCAGAGCCTCCTCTTTCTCAGGGTTTGAGAATATCCAGATTCATTTTCTCAGCAGGACACATCTTAACAGCTGTAGTGTATATGTCTTTAGGACGACAGCCGCCAAATAGTAGTCCCCCATATCAACTAGGGATGCAGCAATATATCGGCCACCGAAACATATCGGCCGAAAATGGCACTTTTGGCTAAATGCCGAAAGTCCCATTCTTCTGCTGATACATCGGCGCATCCCTGCTTTCTTCCCCCCCCCCCGCTGGGCGCTGCTCTGTGTCCCAGCGGTGGGAGGAGAGAAAGTGTGAGAGCCGGCCGAGCGCTGCGGGAGGAGAGCGATATGAGCGGTCGGCGTCTCTCCTCCCAAACCGTTCAGCCTCCTGTCACAGATCGGGAGAGCGGTGTGTGGGCGGAGACAGCCAGCGCTGTCACAGGAGGCTGGGCTCTCCTCCCCGCACCGCTCGCTCAGCCTCCTGTGACAGCTGTCAGGAAGGAGAGCCAATGCAAACACTCAGCAATCAGTGATCGCTGAGTGTTTGTACATAATTGAGGACATGGTATGTTGACTATATCCTCAATTATGAATGAATGGGAGTGATCTACATCAATTGGTGCACCTCTAATAACAACCTAAAAAAAGTGCACAATGACTGAGAACACTCAACTTTCCATGTTTTCTACTAGGTTGAGTTGAACCAAAGCTTATAATACAGATGCTATATGACCTATAATTTCATTCAGACATAAGTGTTTCCTTCTTCACCCTTGGTTCCAAGAAAGTAAATCGGGAAAGAATGTTCTATGGTGACCATGATTACACACGGTGATTCTTGGTCCAAAAAGAAGTAGTTTGCTCAGATGAACAGAATGCACAGGAGCTAGTCTTCCAGAGAGTGAGAAAAGTCTTTCACTCCCCATTGTTAAAACAACTAGGAAACAAACTGGTATGAGAACAAGTTGCAAAAAAGTGACACATTTGTCCTTTGAGAAGAAACAAAGGAAATGTGAAGAAGGTGCCAGTGTTGTCATGAAAGTGTGCCCCACTCCAGCAGACTCCATTTCATGCCCACAGCATTATGTTACCTCAGGATTTTCAAGGCACCAGAAGATTGAATACTAGGGACTGTATAAGGGGTAGAGCCCAAGCCCTGGTAGAAGGTTCCATGCTCTCCAACCTATCCATAGCATAAGCGGGGAAACAAACTGGAAAGAGGTATAGAGGGGGAGGGATTATAAGGGCGCACTGCCCTGTTGCTCAGCTTTATTTGTAGTATCTGCCTGGAATTCAGTGACGTTAGCCACCTTTGCAGCACTGCAATGTGTCCAGTAATACTTGCTTCTAGGGCTTAGTGCCAGTACATTCAAGGTTCTGGGGGCAGCTTTGTACTTTATCTCTTGGCTGAGAGACCTTGTCGTCCTCAGATTCATCACAACACTGAAAAAGGTGAAGACCTCTCTCACCATAACCATGTCCCCCTTTTTCTTGGTACAGACCTTACAGTAAAGTACAGGCACGCTGAATGACAGTTAGTGTGCTTAAGAATCATGTATCTGCTGAGCTCCTGCAGCCTATTGGTAGTCACTTTCTATCTACATGCATGCACTCCAGCAAGTGCTGAATGTTATTTCTTAGGCTGAGTTTCCTGATGGTGACATGCCTGTGCTTTATGTGTTGGTATGGCTGCTTCTAGTCCCTACTGGGAGAGTGAATGACAAGGTGACAACCTAGGAGAGCTAGAAGACTAGGGGCAGAGCATTTTCACCCTAAAAGAGATAATACCTGAACAAGGACCTGCATGGCAGGATGGCTAGTTATTTAAAAGGAAGTTGTTATTAAAAATAATAAAATTACATTTTTGTTCCATTTACCAAGTAACAGCTTATTTACATTAATATGCATTCTATATTTAATTCCTGTAGTACAGTTAGTTTGGTAGTGAACTACAACAGAGGACGGGCCGCACAGAGAATGTAGCCTGGAGGTGCAAAAATAAAAGTAGGCATTGGTACATGATCAGCAAAATCATGTCATGTGTGTGTGTGTGTTTCCATGTGAGGGAAGCAGTATCAAATGCAAGTTTAAGTTTGTAAGCTGTACCAAACCTCCTATACTTTCAAGAAATAAATGCTTCAAACCTGTAATTCCACACATGGTCATCTTACTTCTGACTTCCTTTGACAAGCACTCAGTCACTGCATCTTCTATTAACAAACCACTGTAACTGGACAGTGTTTGTAGATACAATTAAATCTCACTGCTTTATCCAACGTCAAACCTCCAACACCCGGGCTCATGTGGGTGCAGGCTAAGAGCCGTCTACACTTAAACACAGCAATTTAAAAGAGAAAGGTGCACACCGTAGTCTAACCATACTTCCATTATACCAAGACTCCCTGCCTAGGAGCTGCCTGCTCAGACGCATTTCATCCATTAGGGCTTAATGGTCTAACGGTTGAAACATGTTAGAACAGGCGGTGCTTAGGTAGGGAGTGTCCGTATGCTGGAAATACTCCGCCTTACGGGTTGGTTGTCAGTTGCACTATGGTGTGCAGCTTCTCCTTTGGACTGTGTTTGTGACTTTCTTGAGGCTGCTAATTAACAGCCTGTGTGGGGGTTGGTCTGGGGTAAATGCCTACCAAAAGACCCCACAACATGATGGCCAGGATACTTGTGTCCGAAACCTATTTGTTCTACAGTCTTTGATTTCTGGGATTAAAGCTAAGTTACAAATATAAAAAACAATTGCTGGGAGGTAAGGATATTTGGTAAAAGGGACATGCAAAGTCTCTTCTACCACAAAAATTCTTCCTCTCTCCCCTAGAGATTTCTGACTTTCTGTGTATCGTATATGATGAATGTGCCATACAGTGTACATACTCCTCTCAGAGATACAGTGAATGGGCCTAATGCTGGTGAGGATGTAACTCCTGTGCATATGCCAATGGCTGAAGAGGATGCCTAGAAACATGGAAGTGTTGGAAGTGATCCACGAAAACTGGAAAAGTGCACACTTGTAAAGTAAGGTAAAAAACTCACCTTTCACACAGACATTTACTTCCACATTTACTTAGAGAAATATGTAGGCCTCCATAGCTGGGCTCTTCCTAAAGGAAAGAATATGGCTCCCACTGATCCAGCTTCCCTGACCCAGAACAAACCTGCAGTCAGCAAAGTCAGAATCCATTCTAAACTCCTGCACTACCTACTCCAGGTCAGTGACTAAAAGCTCTGGAACCAGCCAGGCAGCTGACATTTTAAGAGAAAGGCTTCCAAAGGCATCGAACAGATTTCTCTCAGCATGAGAGTGCAGGTGTACCCTCTAGTGGTCGCATCTGTGGCAAAAGCCTTTGTGAACATTTCTTAATTTGAAACTTCCCATTTAGCAGAATTTTAGAAACTATAGGCCCTGCATTTGGAATTCAAATGTTAATACGAAATTAGTGGAAGTAAATGAAAATGGAAGTCGCATCATCATGAGTACGGGTGACCTGCAATACTGTTCAGTACAGTTCACTGGCTTCCAAGGACTTTTGTGAATCATTCCTTACAACATACAGGGCTAGAATGGAGTTTTGTATGAACTGAGCCTAGGAGAGAACAAACATTTCTCCAATATTACTTTTACAGACTTTTGTTGGAAAAAATAACACCTGATTAGTAAGTACAACTTCATCCAATGCCAACATTAAGATGTAGCCCATTTATTTTTCATGCCATAAATTGTCGGAGGGGACAAGTTGCAGCTCGCTGCAGGGGATAGGAAGACTATTTACCGACAGCACACAGTTTTTGTTTTCAGACTGCAAGGGTATGAGCACAAGGCAAATGTATTGAAGTTTTAATCCTTTTTAACATTTTTAAGCTTTAAATCTTCTTTTAAAAACAAAGCTTCTATTTTCATTCAGTCTTCATTCTTTATTCAATTCTTTTGTTCTAGCTTTTTTTTTTTTTTTTTCACTGGATGTTGCGCAAACCTAAAAAAAGAAAAAAATGTATGAAGATGGAAAAAAAAAAAAAAAAGGAATGACCTCCTCTTTCCACTTGTAATGTAAAGAAGGGTCCAGCAGGACCAAAAAAGCAGCATGCTGCAGTTTTAAGGTATGAAAGAAAATGCAACGTACTAAAAACACAATGTTCATATTTAAGGGGATGGACAGGCAAAAAGTCAGACCTGCATGAAGCAGCAGTGTCCTTTCTGTATTTAGTAGAAAGAAGAGGATTAAAAAGGATTAACAACTAATATTGAATGCCAGTGTGCACATACCCTAACAATATTTAGAGGGCACTTTCATGAAACTGGAAATTCTTGTTTATGATACCCCTGTCATAACTTGGGGGTCCCTCAGCACTTACAGTTCCCTGGCCTTATATTTTCCATTTCATCTGTGGTATGGACAAAAAGTACAGTCTAAGGGAACCACCGAAATACTCTAAATTCAGTTCTCCAAGCACTGTCAACAAGACACCCAGGGTCCCAAATCGTATAGGGATTTTGTCTTTTTTTTTTAGATTATCTGCAAATATTCCTGCACACAGAGATCTTAATCAGCTCAATATTGCACCGTGACAGGACCAAAGTCCTTGATTAAAACATTGTGAAACTACTTATATTCGCATTTGTGAAATTGCTAAATGAAGTGCAAGAGCACAAATGTGACCCTGTTCTAAGGCTCCAGTCTCATGACATGCCAGACTAAAGGATGTTCTCCTGTGAAATGCTGCATGTCTGACAGCATCAGACCGTTTCCAACTGACTTCCATGCACAGATGACACAGCAGTCATCAGCTCCGTACACAATTTAAAAAAAAAAAAAATCAGCAGCATCAAAGTACTTTGTGTGTACCTGCTCTACAGGTACAAGTGATAACACATGGCACAGTCTCACCTGGTCATTTACACTGGGCTCTCTTAATATAGCGCCTGTTGGCTGAGGCTTCCAAGGTCTGTCCAAGGTCGGAGGGCTGATCAGTCTAACTGCTGAAGGATTTTCACATGGTCTGACAGCAGCATGCTGATGCGACGGGTGTTTTGTTGGAGTGTGAATCCATGCATGTTTCTTTTGATCTGGACAATGAAGTTCTAAAAAAAGAAAAAAAATATGTAAGAACGTTTCAATTTCCCACTTAGTTCAAACAAAGGGTTATCGAGACTGAAGGTCAATAATGAAAAGGACAGAACATTGTGTAAGTAATAGTTATAGGTGGATTCTGAGGGTGATTCACTGACTGATTTCCTGAACAAGAAGCGAGATCTTAAAGCGGACCTTTACACTCATATTCTGCCAATGTATCCCTCTATGTATGATGATTAATAATAACATAGACATGTCAGGTGTAAAATGCTGTGATTGTGAAATACTTACACTTGCAGAGCATTCACTTCCTGCTTTGAAAGTGCAGATTACTTAAGTTTGCAAAACCAATGCACACTGGGATTGCCTTGTCATCAGCAGAGCATTGCTGGGAAATCTCATCTGTAATCTCAGAAGATCTCAGGGATTTTTCTCCTCTGAGATGATGGGCACATGTCACATGTCCTAGTCACATGTCTAGTCACATGTGCCAGAAATCTAGTAAGTGAAAGGAGAGCTAGTAATCTGCCCTTAGTTAACATGGCCACTGTCAGAAGACCAGGGGAAAAAAAAGAAACAATGTATGCAAAGAATACAAAGCCGGCAATTATCTAGAAGTATGTGTTTGTAGCTTGTCATTACCAAACATTTCTAAAGGTGTGTTTGTTGTTATTTTGAGGTTATGGGTAAAGGACCGCTTTAAGCTGGCCATACGCGGTTGTTTTTTTGTTCAGCCCATGGACTGAACAAAAACAAAGATAGAACAGATTCCTCCATCAATGCTTACGAGAGTTGATGGATGAATCCCCGCCTGTTTCCTTTGTATTCTGAAAGCGGCCGCCAGCCTGCTGATTGTCTGCAAGCATCGTTCCTTCAAAGATTTTCCAACATGTTGGCCGGAAGAGTGCCAACAGCAGAACCAACTTTGGCATAGTGTATGGCCAGCTTAATTTCTAGTAAGAATAGTTCTCTAAACATGGAGGAAAGGAGTGGCGTTGCCTGCAGTAAATGTGATTAAGGTTGACATTTTATAAAGCGGTAGAGATATCAATAGGTGATTTTAATATGAACAATAATAGACAAGAAAATAAGACCAGAAGAGATATTAATGTTTGTGAGATTTTATCTGGACTACATCTTGGAGCTCTTTTCTAATTTGGCATCATGCAACTGTAACATATTAAAAAAACACTGTCTGTATTCTGATAACTTTATCTGGTTAATCTTCCTATTATGTTATTCGCTATATAAAATCCTTTTTTAATATTGTATTCATATTTATATGCACAGCAAGGTGTTAAAAACACATTTCAACAAAAACACAACTCTATAGTGATAGTTTGTCCCAACCTTGTTCCACTAAGTAATGTGGATAGGGGACTCGCACTGTCAGCTATTGCATTCTGACAGTGGTGGATGTGCCGATGTCACGTCAGAATACTGACGGCAATCTGGCTGCAATCAGTTAGGCCGGAATTATTTGAACCAGCGCCTTCGACAAAAGGCAATTGAAAAAGCATTGTGTGTGTGCACATATGTGTGTGAAGTTGTACTGACGGGGTCACACACCACTCGGATATCATCATGTCAAAATTCTAGCAGGGTATGATTAGCTTTATTGTGATTAAACCGATCTGCCAAGGGAACTGGGGCAATGACACTTTGATCCAGAAGCTAAATAAGAATTTACAGCAGGTAAAATGGTAAGCAGCGATTTCTATTTTCAAAGTTATGCTATGTGAATGAAGACATGTAACATATTTCAATTTAGCTGCAAAAGTGAAAATACACTTTAACCACGTCTGCTGCAAAACTGTCATAAATGAGGAATAGTGGCATTCAGTCCCCTAAGTCAATGAGGCAGCTCACGATGCTTGGCCCAACCACCCTATTTCCCGAGTCCATCCAGGCTATTACCCAAACATCCAGTCCAGCAGAGCCTAGACACGGTACTTGAAATGTCAGGACAACTGGGATGGATAGCTGCAATGGGAGACACAACTCCAGCAGCAAAAGAACTGGTAGTAGGGGTTTTCCTAGGCTAGACTGCTGTTGTTTTATTTGTCAGCGTCTAATTCCCTTGTAAACGGCAATAAAACCTGAAGGTTAAAAGGAGAACTATGGGGTTAGGGCTTTTCCCCATAGTTCTCCTTAGGGTAACGGGAGGACACAAACTAGCGTCCTCCCGTCACCCTAGGCTCAGTATACCGCGCGCTACAGCTCGCGGTATACTGAGACGCCGGAGCAGATCCCGACATCGATGTCGAGATCCGCCCAGCTGCGTGAGTGACAGCTGGCTCTGCCTATCTAGAGGCAGAGCCAGCTGTACCGGCCCCCTCCCCCGTTCGTTCCGCCAGTCAGCACTGGCGGATCGGAGCGGAACCCTCCTCAACGTGTTCCCGACACCATCTCCTAATTTTTTTTTCAATGGTTCGCCTGTTACTTATGGGAGGTGCCAATAATACAAATTTGTATTACTGGGCACACATGTACATTAGTGTAAGCTACTGTGAGTCCCATTGGAAGATTTCAGATGAATCAAGCAGTGCATGTGACTGCTATTATACGTGCACTACTCAGAACTAAAACTGGAAGTTCGGGATCAGTGCGACCGTGCTTTGCAGGGATAACCTCATAATGTAGATAATAAAAGTATAGATCGTTCAATGCATAAAAAGGGATTTGAGGTGGTTAATTAGGCAATATGTACAACTGGCACATTGGTTATTTACCAGTAGATTATAGACACTTGAAACACTTCCAGTGTCCCTCGATGGACGAGAAAGAAATCAAAATAAAACCATGTGAAATAGAGAAAAAAAAGGAAATAAATAGATTATATACACTAGGGTTACATGTATTAACCACATATAGTGGTCAAAATACAACATATTTCGTAATAGTTGTTTTTGCATTAGAATAGGTGTTGATCTATACGAAACTGAAATTTGACTCACCATTGGGGGGTTTTCGTTTTAGTTGTGCAGATAATACTTGATTACCGAGAGTCACCAAACTTTCTTCTGTTAAATTAGAAGAATAGATCTCAGGAATTCAGGATTTACAGATCAAATAAAAGTAAATGAAGTAAAATAGAAAATACAAATCTGCACCAAATAAATATGACAGCTGGAGAAATAGTCCTTCAGGACTAGATGCTTATTATATACAACGTCTTCCCTTATACCAAGCTCCAACACACCTCACAATGTGCCTGTACAAGCTCCCATAGATATTGGTAAAAGAATGGGATGGACAAGCCACGGCCACTACTGGGAGAAGAGAAGGGCTTGTCATTTTCAGCATGGCATAGCAACAAGTGGCCTTACTGGGTCCTCAGCATACCAAAGATGAATGAGATTTGTTAGCTCTAGGGATGTCCCAATACCGATACAAGCATCCGTATCAGGACCGATACAGGACATTTTGACAAGTACTAGTCAATATGCCCCGATTCATAGCGTCGAAGCTTGCGCTATGTTTTTTTTTTCCTGACCTTGCCGAGCCATGTAGTTGAAGAGGAGCATTGCGTCACTGCTGCTCCGGTGGGTGGTGCTCCAGGTGGGGTCCTAATTTAGGTGGCCGGCGACTGCCCAGAGTATATATGATATAGTGTCCTGGACCTGTGTAATGTATATGACATCACACACACCTCCGCTACACTACAGCAATAGATTTACAATTTCTCCCCTGCAAACATGAATAGGTTAAGTCATGATCCATAGAACATAACATGTAGTTGTACTATGGATCATTTAAAGTCACCTGTCCCTTTAAGAAAAAGTATCGGTATTTGGTATCGGCAAGTACAAGAGGGGAAATACTTGTACTTGGTCTTGAAAAAGTGGTATCGGGACATCCCTAGTTAGCTCTATTGGTTTTTTTTTTATCTCCTAACATTTTCTCCTACATTCACAAACAGAAAAATCATATAGGTGTGAAACTGGAGGTAAAATATGAGATAACATTTTCAATTGTTAAATAGTCAAAATACCAAAGTCTTATTGGATCAGTTGAAAAAGCTGCTTCTCCTGCTCCTAGACACCTCACTGAACCTATTGAAATCCTAAGTATAAGAGTATTTCAGGAACTCATTTGACTCAGTGATATACAAATGACCTCAAATAAAATAAATATTTATGAATAATACATATGTTTTAATTACCTCTGA